GCCTAGATCTTGATCTCCAATTGGCAGAATCTTGTGGATGAGATTGTTTTTGCTGATTATATCGTGATTGATAAGAATTCCTCTGGTGATAACTACTTTGTTTCTGATTATAATAATTTAATGCTGACGTTGGTGTTGACGTTGGTGGTGGTGGCCTATGAGAAGTGGAAGGTGAAGATCTGTAAGAAGGCTTGGTTTTAGAAGGAGGGATAGGATCTCTATAAGATCTAGGTTGAGGAGGCGATGGTGGAAGAGGTAGGGATTTTTTTTTTTTACCAACGTTTTTTTTATTCTGAATTTCGAATAAAGTTTCTTCATCAACAGGAATATAATTTCTTCCATGACGATGTAATTGACCTGAACCCAAACCATCATCTCTCTCTTTTATATTAGGGTTGGCAAAAGAATGCCATGACATTGCTACAGCCTTTATGTCAACAGTTGATATATCAAAATCTTTTTTAGAATTAGAATCATTATTTTTACTTGATTGTTCCTTTATCGTTGCTGCTGCTGTTGTTGATGATGATGATGGTAGTTGTTGTTGTTGATTTTGAGATGTTGATTGTTGCTGTTGTTGTTGTAGGGAGGAATTAGTCCAACTAGTTTGCCAATTTTGCTCATCAGACCAATTTTGATTCCACTGATTTTGCTGTTGTGGTGATTGTTGCCACTGAGTTTGTTGTTGCTGTTGATGCAATGGAGGCCGTTGTATTTGAGATTGAGCTTGAGATTCTTGCCAATCCATTTACCTTTTTATTTTTTTTTAAAAATTATTTAAAAAAAATGTTTTTCCATGAATATCTATCTATTATACAATTACTACTTACTATATTAATATACGGGGGCATGACGCCACAGGATAATTTCTGCTGTACAAAAGGATCCTGAATACGCCACGTCTCTATTATGAACAAAAATGGGATAAATTATCAAACAAGTTTTAGAAAGGGAGGATTGGTTGATGTAAACCACATCAAAAAAGTAATGGTTATTGTAATTAATCGAAAAAATAAAAGATCTCCTTCATTAATTGATCAAAAAGGTAATAGTTTTTTAAAATATAACGATAAAAGATAATAATTTTTTGTCTTTATGACAAAAAAAAAGATATATTTTTTTCTTATAATAATTATTATTAAATCGATGTTGGTTTCCACATGGAAGAAGATGACAGAGAAAATCAAGTACAAGTTAAAAGACTAGCAAGAGAAAAAACGGAAGGTCATTGAAAGCGGAAAGGTTTTACGACCTTACAAGAAAGTGAAAATACATTCATTAAATTTTTTACACACACAAAAAAAGAAACATTTGCAACTTAACATCTCTCGAAAATAGAAAATTCTCCCCTCCCCCACAAAAATCAAGTTTAACAAAAGTTGATTTTCAATATCTCCTCAACATTAAACATCAACATCAACATGCCATGTGGACTTCTTTTCGGCATGATCATACCATTATTAATCCTGAAATAGAGACTGAATGTTGCGCCGAATTGCGTTCGTTGTTTTCTTATGTTAATTAATAATTACAATTACCAATGTTTTCCACAGGTCATATCACAAATTGTCACGTGGTCATATGGTCATATTTTCATTTGGTCATAAGGTTATATAAATTTTGACCAATAAATTGAAATTTTTTAAAAAAAAATTTTTTTACGTTATTATTATTATTTGGCATACTGCAACAAAACCAGACAGTGAACATTGGTAAAATTGTCATTTGCCAACACTGGAAATTCTTGGTAACACAAAATGTTCAATTTACCTGTAATAAAATGAAATTATGATTGGCTAAATTATTCGTTGAAAAAAAAATTTTTTTCAATAATCAATATTAGTACTATATAACTTAGCTAAGGTTTATTACAATTTGTTTGTTGAAACTTATTATTACAATTGACAAATAAAGATTTTTTTTTTATAAATAGTTCGATTTAAACCTTTTTAAAATTTTTAAAATATAATTCTTGCAAGTTAAAATTAGAAAATCAAAAAAATCAAAATATATATATATATATATATATATATTAAATCATGACTTGATTTTACTTAACTTGCAAATAATGAAAAATAGTTCTGCTGTTTGAGGCACTATGATATTATTCATTACCTTTATTATAGTGTTATAGGTTTGCAGTATACATTTTTAATTATGATTTTATTCGAAAAAGAATCAATATTATGTGTAGCCGAAAGTAATGTTCAATTTCGAGTTAATTTGATGATAATTAATGTCTATTTAAGCCTTCAGCAGAATGGAAATAAATAAATTTATATCCTACATCCTAGATCGCCCTCTACGAGTACGATTTATATATATATATATATGTAGTAGATAGGTGTGTTATTTACAATGGATTCGATTCTTTATATATGTGGTGACAAGTACTTTATAAACTTGATAACGTGCCAGCCCTCTTCAAACTAACTCCAGGCTAGCAAAATTACTTCCTCTTAACGTGTGATTATTGCCAAATTCGAAATGCCGAAATAGTAGCCGTAACTAATTTTAATAATTGCTAGAATTATATCTTGAACTCTTTAATCTGAGATAAATCAAATAGCATAATTATTTTATGTTCATAAAGAAGATTGTAAAGCCAAAAATGATAAATTAGGACCACAGGAGAGACTAATATTTTTCAAGATTGATCAAAGGTCTGTTCTATTTACAATATGCGTTTTTAAGGCATTGTAATAGTTTTGTACCTTCTTCTTCAGATTCGCGTATGATCTTAAATAAAGTGTACGCAACCACTGTCTAATAGGAATAATAATATATTATTTTTATTGCATGTTACAGGAAGAAAAACTAACCCTTGAAGTTATCAACACATGAAACACCGCTCTGAGACGTAATGTGTAAAGGAATTGAAGCTTGTTCAAGCAAGCCATACCTGTTTCTTTACACATATATAGCATAGGCTCCTAATATATAATTGTCGAGTATAAACATTCAAGCCTTAAAAACTACTTATATTACAATTGCCGCTTTACCTGTGTAATATTAATTGTAAAATAGTCATTGGCTAAATGTTTTTTGAAGTTAGGAAAAACTCTTTATAGTGTCAATGAAACATGCCAGCTTTTTATGGTCTTGTAGTTGTTTAGCCTGGGTTGAATTTGGCTGACCAACTTTTAAATAAGAAATTCCAAGTTCCGCATTATTTCCTAATTGTGTCGGCACCATATAATATCTGGCCTTCGTGCAATTTTTCGCGAATCTTTTCTTGTTGCACTGGCCAAACTTCCTTCTTTGCCCTTAATTGGAGAATAAAGTAATTAACTAATACGTTATACATCATGCTACTAAATGTCCCGGAAAATCACTCATCATAATATTTAACAATGGTGCAATTACCAAGATCCCTCGTTCATCCGTGTTTTCCGTTTTTTTTTGTAAACGAATCTTATTTTGATGACCTCCAAATTTTTACTCCCTAAAAAGAAAAAAAACCCCGTGATATTCTAACTAATAATCAGAGTCTGCTTTATACAAAAAACTACAAAATATTAAGATTGGTTCTAACAACTGTCTTGTTATTTGTCCTAGTTTTTCAGGTTGATCTAACCACTCCAAATTTAGTCTTACCCAACATATTACATTCTTCTGAAACAAACTTCATACCTATATCCATTATTACATTATTTTGACTTATACTTTTGAAACGATCCCTGAAAATATTGCAAAGCAGCTCTGGCATTTTTGTGAAAGGCAAGTATTTCAGAGCACAATAGATGGTCAAATCTCTTCCACTTTTATTTTATGCGACTATATTTCAATTGTCTCTCACAATGATTTTTCGCGACCAGAACTTTTCTTCACTAATATCAGTAAAATAATAATATCTAGAGCTATGAAAAATCAAACTAACATGTAACTTACAAACCTTTTTAACTTTCTTTTTTTTTTTTTTCAGAGACTGACGACCTCAAAAATGGAATATATATATTCTTTGTGAGTAATAATATGTTACATCTGATGTATATAAAAATCAAGATTAGAATTTGACAAGTTTTTTTACATAAAAAAAAAAATCCCATACTTGCAATTCAATCAAACATATTTACAATTTGTGTATCAATGTGATATTGTCCAATCATATCCTACTATTAATCATTGAACATATGCTTCTTTTTTGACTTTGACTTGATATTAAATCCAATTTCATATGATCCGTATTCTCGAGTAATTGAACAATACCTTCATCGTAAATTAAATCTATTATGGAATGTTATGTTTTGGGACGGTAAAGCCTGATCCGATCCTAATGACTGCTAACCCTATAAAAGTATGTATTTGCTCAGTCTTGGGATCAACTGGAAATTTTATCATGTGAGTAAAGATAACAGGTTAAACAAATCAATCATCAATTATAATAGTTGCACTAGTTCTATCTAAATTTTAAAAAAAATATTTACTAAAAAAAAGAAGCTAATTATCTGTATACCATCATCATTATCACCTGGTACATCATTCAAAAAGTAACGAAGGTACTACTAACAGAAGTAACGAGACCGCAAACGACCTTCTAATATGGACATGGCCAAGAGATTTAAGGTGTTGGTAAAGAATGATAATCTTCTACTTGTATTGGTGGAGTCATCGTCGAGGACTTTCCACGTACATTCTCACTTCATCTACAATAGAGATTGATGCCAATCGCGCTTTCCAAGTATTATGTTATTCGTAGCTTGCTTATATATATGGTATAAGGTGGAAGTCAAATAATAATCTAACCCTGAACACTAATAAAAAGATATAGTATACAATAGACATAATAAGCCAAATCCCATGGAATTTTAGAACCAAGTCCATATGATCTTGCACAAGCCCATTGATTTAACCAAGCTAAAGTTTTTTTTCAAACTGATGCCTAGTCTCAAGACCAAAAGTATTTAATTTTTTCAAACATTCTTCAGCTTGCTTTCTCCATTCTGTCTCACCATAATCTAAATACCGTTGATCACAAAAGTACTACTACACATTCATCACCAGACCTTGACATAATAAGACCTTCAGGTTCATTATAAATAAAAGCCCTTTTGAAACCAACAAATCTTTGATTAAAGCTTTTGCCTCTCGAACAGTCTTCCCAGCATATTCACCTATGAGCATAGTTTCATCATAAAAGCCTTCTTTGTAGACCAATTCTTTAGCATCTGTTAAAGCTGCCCGATCCTTTTGTGAATTGATTTTTTTCAATTTGCAAACTTTAGGTGTGGCCAACTCACCATATGTTGGAGTATTAATAATTGGTATTGGTTCAAAATCTGCCACCCACAAAGGATCAATATTATAATATGCTGCCTTTTTCTTTAAATCCTGAAGTGTGATATAATCATCCGGCGAGTCTGGAGGTACCGATGTTACGACCCCTGTTCCTTTTGTAGCCAATACATTCTCCATAGGCAAGACATAGACATGCTCATATTTACTTAATGGTGCATGGACTTTTGTCCCAAGGAAAATTGAACCTTTAAATTCTACTAATTGATCTACAACACTGTGTTTTACAGAATATCCTTGAAATGCCATGTTTCATGCTGCACAATAAGTGCAGATAAAAATATCAGACTCGTTTATTTTGAAAAGACCATAATTTATATTTACACCAACATAACAATTAGTTTGTCCATACCTATATACAAATATATATATATTCACATATTATATATATTGTAATTAAATTTTTGAAAATTAAAATAATTACATGATTTCTGGCCTCAATGTTGCAGCAATAAAAAAATGTTTTTTCCTTCAAGCTCTTTATTTGCGCCCAAAATTTTATTAGCTTTCTATCACCTTGAGTTTAATACCAGTATATTTTTGAGGAGCTAGATCTTCGCCAGAATAATGATCATAATCCATCTTTTGGTGTAGTGCTCACTGAATTTTGTTTTATTAAGAACCTTCAACTTTCTCATTTGCCAATGTACAAATGAATCATAATAAGGATTTATATCAGTGATAATGAAAGATCGACACCAATCAATTTTTGCTCCCATAGCTTTACAATATTTCTACAATTTAATAAAAAACACTGTAAATTTTTAATTTCAAAATTAAAAATAAATTAAAGACTAAACAATACAAACAATTGACAAAGTAGGAAAATAATAAAGCCAATAATTTGCATCAGCAAATTTAGCTGTTTCTTCATTTGGTAAGCCTAAACTTCTCATAATTTGAAATTGCAACCTTTCCTTTTTTTTGCATCACTTTTGTTGTGCCAGCTCCAGACGAATCTAATTTTTTTGAATTGTTATCATTCAATGTTAAATCATCAACTCCTTTTTTAATATCATCAATTATTGTGTCATTATTGTCAGGTATTTTAAAATCAGGACCATATAATTCTAATTCATGAGCAAGTTTATCTGCACATGCATATTTATATATATTAAATAAAAACATTGATCTACATATATATAATAACATAGTGGTTAATTACCTTAATTGGCATACCAGTACAATGAAAGCCTAACGGGAACAATGCCCGTTTTCCTTTCATTCGTTCATACTCAATTGCAAATTCAACCTTTGTAATTGTAAAAAAAAAATGCCCCAAATGTAATCTTCTGTTCATATAAGGATAAGGAAAAGT